CTCGAAGAAAGTCCTGAAAAATAATAACCAGGAGGAGAAACACCCGAAGAATCAGAAGAAGGCAAAGAATACCTCGAAGAAAAAGGGTGGTAATAAAGATAACAAGGCGGTTTTAGCAGAGATTTTAACTTTATTACAGAAACTAGTTTAGCCTACGCTTTTATTAGCGGTTTTACGAATTTCAGAATTGTATTATTTTTTAGGATAGAATAGATTTATGTTTAGCACCACAACTTCTTGGAAAGGGGACTTGTCCTCTCCACTTTTTTCCCCCTCCTTATTTTTACCCAGTGTGTTTGCCTGGACCTTTTACCGGACGTGGTAGTGGTACAGGTCTTTTTTTTCAAGTAGCTCGGGTTGGCTTCTGGCTTCTCCAGAAATCGATGGTAGGCTCAAGTCGGGTTGTATTACTTAGGTTTTATTACTTAGGAATCATGCTCTTGCTGTATAGCCCCTACCGGCTTCACATAAAATAAAATAAAATAAAATAAAATTGTGTCCCCAACTATAGAATGGAAATGTCTTACATTTATGCTTCGGATAATAAGTCAATCCAATGATAGCCTAACATGTGATCACCTTGATCGGTATACTACAAAAACTGCGGTACCCAATCTGTCACCTTCTTATCACCTAAGTGATCATTGATTTTGAAAAGTAACATTAAGCTACCATGACGATCAAATTTTCCAGTATCCTCCCATCCCCAAAGAAAATAAAGTTACACCGAAAAAAGTGACCAAGAAAAATGAAAAGCAAAAAATAAAGACATAAATCTTAGAAAAACTCGCAGTGCAATGAGAAAAATCTGAATAAAAAATACCAAATATACACCTCAACTCTGTCTTCTTATTTTAGAATACTAAAAACCCGTTAACAATATCAACTAGCAAAAAATATGTTAGTTGATAAGCTTCTTTCAAGAAATAACGGTCTGGCCTGCAAACCACTTGACCAGTTAGACTTTAAAGGCGTAGGTATACTTATCAGCAGAATTGAATTTTTGAATTATGACAGATGTATTTAAAATGCCATAATTCGCCATAATTATATATTTTATTAGTAAATATTTGCACTGACGTAATTGTTTTTGGCTATACTGTAATATTTTGACATTGACTTTTTAATTTTACTAAGAAGTATAGGCGTAGAAATCAAGACGCACATTTTTCAACCTTTCAGAAAGCTCAGAGAAACATTTGTATAGAACTGCTATCTTACGTTATTGTTGGTAACTCCAAGACTTATAATAACGGTCCTAACTCAATATATACCATAAGGAGTTCAGGCAAAACTAAAGACCTCGGTAATAACTTCATATAATGTCGAAAAGTCCTTTTACTATCACTCAACATCAGGAAGTCACGGGAAAAATGTTCATCCAATGTACATCGGTCACTTGATGTACATCATAAAGAAACACTGAACATCGGACCCTGCAATGTACTACCGATGTCACAACATTCGATGTGCATCACCTAAATTTAATGTTTATTAACGATGTACATTATTTTTATTATAACAATATTTAATAAACATCAAAATATTAATTACATAAAATATAAAACGTGAAATCAACAACAATTAAACTGCATATATTTTATTATAGAATGGTTATAAAATGGTTTTACAATTACTCACTATTCAGTTTCTTACTATACTACAGTAGTACTCCCTTTACCTCCGATCCACATCAATCTGATGACATTCCACTTTCCCTTATTTCGGTATTTTCCTGATTTCCTCACTACCAAATTAACCTCAATCTTAATATATTCACGAATTAAAACAAACGAATTAAAGCAAACGAATTAAAGCAAACGAATTAAAGCAAAAAAAAAACAAAAATAAATAATAATTAAATTTTATTCATCTTCATATTCCCCTTTATCATCATCATCACGATTGACTTCTTCTTGATCATCGCTTCCACCTTCCTGATCATTGCCTTCCTATTCTTCCTGCTTTTTCTGTTTAAACATTAAATGTAATTTAGTAAAAATATTAAATAAAATTAATCAATGACAGACGATAAATGATAATTATTTGAATACCTTGTCATTATTTAATTTTTTCATACATTTGGTTATCGTTTCTCCAGAAAGCGTTGTTGTTTGCACATCTACATCAAAGATCAGATCAACAACTGCAATAACAAACAAACAATTGTTGGTATTAAACTTTTCTTCTTTGAACACTTGACTTGTAATTCGATTTATATAGGTGTCATCATCTTTATCGCTGTCCTTAACCTGACTCCACAAATTTTTCTTGGCCCACAAAACATTTGTTGAATTTTTCCAATTAGCGATCTCATCAAAAGACACCTTTTGTCCAGGAATTTCTCCAAGGAAAACCTTACCAAATGTGTTTGATATTGCACTCTTTATATTTCTAACATAATTGGCACGTCTGGTGCGAAATTCGTTACGTGCCTGAAATGTGTGGGCGTCAGTATTATAATTTTATTAATAGAACATCACACATTATTACGAATGAATCGACTTACTAGTGACTGAATTGCCTCTCTCCAGAATTTTTTCCACCCGCCAGCTGTATTATTTTCGATCTTTGAAACATTCTCAGGATGCGCTTTTTTCAAATTATCGTAAATAAATTCACACATTGTTTCGTCACTTGGATCTTTTTCCAAGAAAAACAACTCTGAACACGCGTTGGTTACGGTTTGCTAAATTACAATTGAAATAGATGCTCATTAGAAAGGAAATTTTTCAAAAAAAGCCAACCTGGAAACATAGTAGTACTTACAGAATACCAAAATTGCTTTTTCTTAGTATGTACTTTTGACTCTCCATTGGCATTCTGATTACTTTCATTACATGACGATTGTGCTTTGATAAATTCATTAATCGCGTTTTCCGTACGAACCGAGGACTCTTTTGCTAAAAGCACTTCCTCATATGCTTTTTTAGAATAATATAAGGCCTTATTCAACGTATCGGCATCTTTCTCACTAAGACGAGGCACTGTAATATAAATAATTAAATTTAATAACAATCATCATTCAGGTGACATTCCTATCACTTTCTTACCCTTTGCAGTTTCATTTCGAGTATTCATACTTTTACGTTTGTGGTGCTCAATTTCCGAAGAAGAATCATTCTGAAATAACATATGATGAGTTAGTTGAGTGTATACTGACGATGTAAAGTTGAATTACATTAGCTTCAATTTTTTATATACCTTTGATGATGAACCGCTAGTAATACCTAATATAAGATTCGAATCTTCCAAATTTATATCGTAAGAGGGAATTGAAGTGGAATTTTTTGATTTATTAGAAGTCAAACCATGAATTCTAGTAGCTGAGATTTCAACGTGTTCCACTGGGGTCTCGAAACGTTGTTTATCCGAATCATTTGAATCACAGATTACAACACGAACATTGTCCTGAACATTGCTAGCGGAATCTTTTGATGTAACGGAGCTGATCTCTTTTGAAGAACTTGACGATGTTTTCTAATAATAATAATTGTTATTATAATCATCATTGATATAAATACAAGTACAATCATTGATAAAAATATCTTCTTACTTTAGTAGTATGAGAACGTAATTTTCTACTAGGCGCGAATGCAGAGAGAGGATTATTTGATTTAATTGATTTTGATGATTTTGAAGACATTTTTTTTATAAAGAATTTGTTTGTAAAATATGATGAGAAAAATGATGGGAAAAAAATAAAGGGGTTTTTAAAAGAAAATTAGTGTAATACATGATCAGGAGTTTCGATTTACACTAGTGAAATTTAGTTCAACAATTAACTTACATATGAATACATCACCAAGAATTCTATAAATAAAAATGTAATGATTAATTGTATTATTAAATAAATCGAATTACATTATTATATTTGAACATTTTTTAAAAATCGATCAAATCAAAATTTTAATTTTAATTCATGAATCGATTATTCATTCATAAGATAAAAAGAAAAAGAAAATTAAATATGTTTCAAATTAAAACTACACAAGAATTTCGATGTGAATACTGTCCAAAAACGTATAGCAAACGTAGCTCCCTTTGAAACCACCTCCGAACGCATCGCGACTAGATGTACTTGAACGAAACAGGACTTTTTGGTGAAGAAAATACCTATATTAGCCATCCTTTGCAAGAAGCCAACAGACCTTCTATGAGAAATGAACAAGACTTAACGTTAGAAGATAGTTATTGGCAGGTAAAAGAACCAGAATTTTGTAGCAATTAAGAGTTTATTAAACTTAAAAAAACTTAAAAAAAATTTTTTATGTTATAGGATGACAATGATATATATGGAAATTATGATGAAAATCCTTCGTCAAGTGAAGATCTGAATGAGAACTTAAGCGAAATTTCCAATAAAACTTCAAGTAACAATTCAGATGAAAATTTAAATGAAGTTTCAAATACAAACTTAAGTGACAATTCAGGCGAAAATTTAAGCGAAACTTCAAATGCAAAGTCAGATGAAAATATTTCTAGTATTGAAAGCGATGATGATAAAAATTATGATACAATTGAAACCATCGGCAATTGCTCTGAAGTTCAAAGTACTGTTTTAGTAGATGTCAGGTCAATACAGATAATACAAGAAACAACTAATTTAACTCCAACAACATTTCCAAACCCTGCATATGAGGCATTCGTACAGTTAGTTACAAAGCATAAACTTTCTGATTCTGTAGCAAATGATATTATTCACTTATTTAATAACTATAGTATGGATCCAACTGCGACTTTACCATCAAATGCAAAAGCTGCACGAGTATTTCTTGATTCAATAGAAATTCCTCATATTCTTTACAAAAAAACGATCATAATGGAATACAACCAAATTCAATACACACTTCATCATCGCACAATTTTTGACGCTATTAAAGAATTATTGAGCAATAAAGAAATATTTAAATATTGCGTTTTTGATTATAGTCCAGATTACATAACGAATGACAAAGGTGAACAAGAACATTGTTACTCTGAACTATATAACAGTGACTGGTGGGGTCGTGCCCAACAATCAATCAATGAAAGTGCAAAGGTACTTTCGATAATAATTTATTCAGACGCAACTACTTGTGACACGCTTGGAAAAAAAACAGAACATCCTGTGTTCTTAACATTGGGTAACATCCCAAGCTGGCGACGTAATAAGCCAGATGCCAAGGCTTTGTTGGCATATTTGCCTAAAATTAATGACCATCAAAAGAAGCATGCGATGGCAAAACATCAACTTTTTCAACGCTCGATGAACATTCTTGTTATTGAACCTATTATGTCAGTTATGTCAGATGGTCTTGATTTACGAACTGACGATGGTATATTGTGGTGTTACCCATTTCTGTCCGTATTACTTGGTGATTTACCTGAGCATTACGCTATAACGTTGACATATAACTCATTTAACTGCAAGATGCCATGTCACATGTGCATGATACCAAAAAAGTAATTGAATAACCCATTAATAAATCATTCAACAATTCAATTACGCACACCCAATATAATGAAAGGCGTGTTAACAGATGGATTAGCAAAAGATTATTCAATTCATAAAATTGAAAATCCATTCTGGAAATTATCGTAAGTATTCCATTAAATGCTAAGATTCTAATATATACATTACTAATTTACTTTGTTTATTTGATAGACAATTAAATATATATCAGGCTTGTTTGCCAGACCGTATGCACCATTTGGATCTTGGCCTATATAAATATCAAGTTGAATATACGCGAGAATTGCTCACAGAATGGTGTGGTTCAAATGGAATAATAGAATTTGATAATCTATTGGCAAAAATACCGCGCTTTTCAGGACTTAAGTTATTTAAACACGGGTTAGGTAATATTAAAAGGTTTACGGCAGATGAGTTTTGTGCAATGATGCGGCAACTTGTATTTGTTATCGATGGTATTATTCCTACATTACACAAAACTGATTATACCAAGAAACAAGCTAAAAATATAGATAAACAATTGGTTCAGCTATATGTTGATTGGAATAAAATGTACATTTATTCTCGTAAAGATAAATTTACAGAATCAGATTTAAAAACATTTAAAGTAAGTGTATCAATTGATATGATTAATATGTATACATACATGTATGTGTAAAATAACAGTTTTAATCTATTTTTAGTTACTTATTATTATTTGGGCAAAAAAGTTTAAAAAGTTATTTTCCTCATATTCCATGTCCCAATTGCAACTACCCAAATTTCATAGCTGGGTTTATCACATTATTTCATCAATTACCGAATACGGTGCAGTGAATAACTTCACGACCGAAACTTACGAGACATTGCATAAGGAATACGTAAAAAACCCCTACCGGATGAGCAATAAATGGGATGCGTCATCTCAAATGCTACGTACAGTACTTCTAAGATCGTTAAAATCTTCAGAATTTTCATCAAAATCATCAGAATCTTCATTAAGATTATTAGCATGATCTTCATTAAAATCATCAGAATCTTTGTTAGAATCATCAGAATTTTCATTAAAATTATTAGCATCTTCGTTAAAATCATCAGAATCTTCATTAGAATCATCAGTATCTTTATTAAGATCATCAGAATCTTTATTAAAATTATCGGAATCTTTGTTAAGATCATTATTGTAGTGATTATAATCTGATTCTTTATTTTGATTATTGTTAACAGCAAAAGTTACTTGCTTTTGTTTACCTTTGTTTTTAGAATTTTTATTCAATGACTGCATAAAATTATAAACAAATTTTTAATATATTGAAATAATTTGATTTAAAATATTGTGATTAAATAAATATATTACAGTTAACTACCTTTGTATTTCTACTTTTACTCTGATGTTTATCATGAATAGAATTACTATTATTATCTTCATTTTCGTCATTTTCCTATGTTATATATTGTAATTTTTTTAAAAAAATTATTTTATTATAAACAAATTTAAAGATTTTTTTATTTATACTTACTTCTTCAAAGTCAAGTGAAGTATCTTCTTGTTCTACATTAATATTTTCTAATAATTGCTCTTCATCTATACAATTTTCTTCTTTAAATAGATGTTCCATCCATGCTATATTACTGTGTGGATGCATACCAAATACTATTTCATATGGAGTTTTATTGGTAGCTTGGCATATAGTATTATTCATAGTAAAAATAACATAATTTAAGCACAAAGTCCAATTTATTGAATTATTTTGTTCCATCCACATTCCAATTTTTTTTTCTAAAATAGAATTTGCTCTTTCTATTAAGCCTTGTGATTGTGGATGCCTAGGTCTACCATTTACCAATTTTAAACCAGGCCATAAGTCTACTAGATTTTTAATTATTTGTGCAGTAAATTCTTTGCCATTATTACTTTGCAAAATAATTGGAGGTCCAAATTGACAAAAAATTTCATATAATATCCCTGCAATAGCTGCGGGTTCCTTAGAAGTTAAGGGTTTTGCCCATGAATAACGGGAAAAATGATCTCTTACATGTAAGATATATTTGAAATCATTGTCAGAATACTGACGTAAATCAACTAAATCCATCTAAATATTATAAAAAAATATAGCAAATTAAACAGGAGGTAAAGTAATCAAACAGAAGCTAAAAATCAAACATTAAAATTACCTGTACTCTCGAAAGAAATCTTTTCGCAACTATAGGCCTTGCTGCTAAGGTGGATTTGGACATAGTTCTGCGTGGTACACATATTTCACAATGATTCACAAACTCCTCTATAATCTTCTTTTTCACCCCATACCATTTGCTTCTTAATTTTCTATACAAATTTTTTTGTCCACAATGAACATTTTGTACATGCTCCAAACAAATTGTTTTATACATTTCTTCTAAGACTAATATTGGTAAAAAATCAGCAGATTTACCTTCTTTATCTAAAGCTGTTTTTGTTCTTTTATTATTATTTTTACATACAACAGAATCACCTCCAGTATTTAATAAAATGAAATTCTTTCTACACCAATAATGAAAGTCTGCATCCCGTAATGTAGAAACATGATCTAAAAGAACTGTTTTTATTTCATCATAAAGGTGTCTATTTATAAATTGCTTTTCAGATGTTTTAGATTTACTGTTTTGTATACATTTATCAATAATTTTATTAAAAGTATCTTTACTAATAAAAGAAAATTCTTCTGTTTCCATGATAAAAAATTTTTTTATAAAATTTAGGGTGGAGAGACACGAAAAAAAGGATTGATAACAAAAGAAACGACAAGTTGGAGTTAACTGAAGTATAATGCTTTTATTGAATAAACGTAGGATTATTGTTTTATAACCAAAACAATAAAAGTGATAACTTAAAAGAATTCAAGGGAAAACTAATTAATGCTTAATACTCTTATGATTTCTGAACACTTTTTCACTATTCTGACACTACTTCTATCAGTGAGTTGGCAGATGGTATATTTATATCTATTTTTATCTAACTGACATCTCTTTTTCTTATATTAAGGGCGAAATCTAATCTATTGATTTCCTATTGACATCATATATCTATCTAGATTGTTAGTGTTTCATTATAATATATCTATGTAATTACAATGGTGACAGTTTTATTGTAAGCCACATTTTAATAGAACACAAATGATAAATTTGAACGGTTAATTACTATTGAGCTAATTATTCTACAATGAATCTTAATAAAAATCGTATACATATAAACAATACAAATACAGAAAATTAATAATATAAACAATAATAAAAATGAATATACATAATAATACTATATGTGTAAATTAATCAAATATAATCAATATTATCTATTAGGTTAATCTGTCGACTGGTTGTATATCGACTTGTAACATCGGAATCATGTGTACAAAATTTTGCGTAACAGTTTCACAAACAAATTAACAAATTGAAAGCCAATGATTTTTGATGATCATATAAGTCACATGACCCAAAATCAAAATTTCGGGCAGTAAAATGTCTGTGCCCCATTTCGAAATTTCAAGTTGGATTGCCCAAAATTGAAATTTCAATTTCGGGCAAAATGGATCTGCCCCAATTTTAAATCGGGGCAGATCGCAACTTGGGGCACAACAATATCACTTGAAAACTTAAAGTTTCTGTAAAAGTATCAAATTGTGGTAAGATCATGTCTTTAGCATTGATAAATCACAAGTTAACTTATGCTAAATGATTTATAAAAAATTTGGAATTAGCAAGCTATCTATCAAAGCTAGAGACATGATCTTAGCAATATTAATTCATCTGTGTACGATCACTGGATGGAGAATAATCAAGTTTCGCATTTTTTTTAAAATTTTTTAGAGTGTTAAAAATTAAAATTCTGATATATGAATTTATTTGTCGTCCAATAGTTATACAAATATTAATTAGAACTCATTGTCAAATGGCAGTTATAACCTATGCTAAATGATTTATAAAAAATTGGCATTAGCAAGCTGTTTATCGATGCTAGAGACATGATCTTACTGCCATTTGACTTGTTTCATCAAGATGAATCCAATGAGTCCTAATTAGAGCTCCTAATAAGTTGAGTTGAATCGAGTCACGAGTCAAAAACTTTAATTTTAAAGTACTTTTTATTAAGTTAGAATATAATTAAACGAAAATTTACAATTATGCAAGTCAAAATGCAAGTTTATGCAAGTCATTTTCGGAGCTCTAGTCCTAATTCATATTTGTATGACCATTGGATGATGAATAAATTCATGTATCAGAATTTTAATTTTTAACACTCAAAAATTTTAAAAAAATGCGAAACTTGACATTATTTGCCATCCAGTGATTATATATAGGTGAATTAATATTTATTAGATTCGTCTTACTGAGATGATTATTTTTTAGGATAGAATAGATTTATGTGTTCGCACCACAATTTCTTGGAAAGAGGACTTGTCCTCTCCACTTTTTCCCCCCCTATTTTTTACTCAGTGTGTCCGCCTGGATTATTATCGGTAGTGGTAGTAGTGCAGGTCTTTTGTTTTCAGGAAGTTCGAGTTGGGCTCCAGCTCCTCTGGAATTCGATGGTAGGCTTTAGTTGGGTTGTATTACTTCGGAATCATGCTCAGTTTTATAGTCCCTGCCGGCTTCACATAAAATAAAATAAAATAAAATAAAATCTTACTGAGATGCGTCAAATGGTGTTAAGATCATGTCTCTAGCATCAATAGATAGCTTGCTAATTCCATTTTTTATAAATTATTTACTTGTGATCTATCAATGCTAAAGATGTAATCTTACCACCATTTGACACGTTTTGTCAAGAGGAATTCAATGATATATGGCTTGACTTTATACAATCACTAGATGGATAGCTATTCAATTTATCGCATTTTTATAAAAAATAGGATTACAGCAAATTGCAAAATTGTGCGACCATCCCATGATTTTTCAGTTTGAAAATTTGATATTTTTGATTTTTCAAAAATCAGTAAAATATATTTATATTATATTATTTATAAATTAGTATGTGTAACAACTAACAAATAAACTACTACACTTTAAAAAATTTAAACAATGGAACATTTTCGCTTAGGCAAAGATATAAGGAAGTTAATTATTCAAAAGACTCTATTAGGTAGACATAGTATTTCACAAATTTATAAAGAGTGTCATGTATCAAAAACTTTTGTGAAAGATGTAAGAAGATATTATAAAAAAATAACTCTTCCAAGCGTACTCATACACTCCCTGAAAATCCAATGGAAGAAGACTTTATCGCTGACTCAGTGGCTGATGCTGGAGGCAGTGGTATTACTCCTTCTCAACAAAATAATACTGATATTTTAAACTATCATCTTCTCCTCCCAAAGACTCTGCTGCGCCTTTTGCGCCAGATCAAAACACATTTGGTACTGACGCGTCTATGTACTCTCCAAAGGATAAAGAAACTTCCTCTAGACGCGTCTCCTGATAAGGATATTATGGAAACTAATGATACTAGTCCTTCCTTTGACACGCCTACCATTACTATTATTAGGCACGATTTTCAGACTGCTGCATTGCTGAACGCTTCCTCTGAATTCATTAAAAAATACCCCACTAATAGAGCAATGATTGATGCTGTCAATAACCTCTTTTTAGAAACATTCCATTCCTACACTGGCCGTGCTCACGTTTCTGGCTCTGGCGACCAAAAGAGACTAGTTATTCATTTTAACTTCAATTTCATCTGCATAACCCGCAGCAATTCAGGACTAGTGAAGATCTCTGTGCCATTCAGGTCACTGATATCCCATTCTTTATTAAAAAGGATGACATCACTGCACTCTTTAAAAAATATGGTAACATTCAATCTTGCTGCTTACATACCCGTGCCAATGCTAAAGTCCAACAAGCATGCATTGTTTTTATGATGATGCTGTTTCTACCAAACACTTCTTCAACAAGCAATAAGCCATCTATTGTTATTCCACCTGCTTGCGGATTACTTTGTGTTCCCTCACACTTGATCAGAAAAAATCACATCGTGAATTCGTCACTGTTTTTTCACAACTCCCTTCTAATACTAAGGACATCCACTTAGCACCTTTAGTACGTGAAATTGGTGCTATGGCTGTCAATGTCCCCCTGTCTCTTAATTCATATAAATTGAAGAAATGGGCTTACATTACCTTCAAATCCCAGCAAATGATGGATGCTGCGATGGAACAATCAATCGCTTTACAAAAACATGTGCTCACATGGGAGCTCCTACAAAATACTAATAAGTTATGCCACAGATGTGCTAAACTTGGTTATGCTCCTACTGCTTGCCCATTGAATAACTCTAGAGGTTGTTCACGCACCCACAATCTGGTTGCTCACCTCAAAGAACATTTCAATATTGGACAGCCTCTCAAAAACTCCTCCAATAACCATAATTGGCAACACTATCATTCTCAATCTAATCTAGGGATAACAATTTGACCAACAAAGCTGGTCATAATTACCAGAATTCCCTCTTCTGGTACCAATTCATCTTAAATTCCTCAGCGACCTAAATCTAATAAACGAAAAGGCAAAGACCATTCTGTCTCTTTCTCTAACCTACGGTCAGATGGGACACTTTCCTCTGGTTCTGAGGGTTCTAAACCTCTCCTAGTAGATCTGAACTGCTCGCAAATTCAAGAGATTTTAACTCTGCTTAAAAGCCTACAAGAAGATATGACCAATGTTCATGCTAGAGTTTATGCGCTTGAATTAGCCGACCAAAGAATGTCTAGACTTGAACAACAAGTATTTGGTCACAAACAAGATGATGTCACCACCCCTGATCCCAGTGACTCTTCCTGTATGATAATTGATGACCACCCACACAATACAATCTGACCGGCACTCCTTTTTCTGTTAACTACCATTGATCCCTATCTCCCGCTCCACCACTCTCCCACTTCTCATCTCTGTAACTACTTCTGATAAAGCTACTATTGATAAAGAACGTGTGCTGAAGTCTATACCTTTCAGCACAACCTTGATAACAAAATGGACCATTTAAATGATACTATTGGAAAATTCATTAACACCATCACTGGTGGAGCATTCTCAGATGGACAATATTACAGATTATGACACCTTTGTGCGCAACCCTTCCAACCCCATAAAATTTTAGTCAAAATTTTAATGATCCTTTATTTGATACTCTATTTTCTGATTCCCCTATTCCCAATTCTTTCAATATTTCATCTTTTAATGTTAATGGTCTTAAATCTCCTGGTCAAGGTCCTTTTAAAATTGACCTTTTTTCTCAAAAACATATTTCCTTTGGTGGTATCATTGATACTCATCTTTCTCCTAAACAAATGAAATTTTTATCAAAATGTGTTAGTGATTACACTTTGTTTCACTTTGATTTAGACCCTACGAAACATGGCTGTTCTTCTGGTGGTTTTTTGTTATTCATCCATAATTCTTTAGCCACTCATATTCAATATTATGAATCTCACTCTTCTAGGAATTGGAATTGATAATCGTTGAAGAGAAAATTAAAATTAAACAAAAAAAATTAATTCAACATTACATCCAAAAAATAAATGCATTATTTAAAATATTTTCAAAAAGAAAAAATTGATTGATAATGGCCTTCAAAAACTTAAAAATGACGAAATGATTGGCAAATAATCGGCAATGATCGCAATGATGTTATAGTATGGGTATTAGTAATGATATATAATTTCTTAATAGATTTTACGATTTTAATTCAGAATTTATATATTTACTGATCACAAAAATTGAATCTACAAAGATTCGATAATCAATTTCAATCCCTACACTCTTCTCGTATTTTATCAGTGAATTTATATTTTAAAGGCAATTTTAAACTTCGTATTTTCATTGTTTATATTCACCTAATAATGATCCAGTACTAGGGATTGGAATCGATTAATCGAAAATCGACAAAACATAGTAAAATCGATTCTTGAGAATCGATTCTCAGCAATTTTTTACATATAAGTTAACCTGACTCCAAAGTAATTTTTCATGGTGGCCAAGTGCTGATTATTTTTGCTGAAATTAGAAACTGGTTCAAAGTCAGGTTGGTCGTCTATAAGAAAAATCTTAAAAAGATTCAATTTTTGATTCCAATCCCTATCCAGTACTTCGTAATGAAGTAATTGACCATTTGATTTCTCTTATTACCCTTGCTGTTTCTCAAATTTCCATCACGCTATTTGTGGTGATTTTAATATGAACTTAGATAAATACTATCCTACAACCCCAAATTGCTTCTAAACGTATTCATTGGTTATTTTACTATCTTTTATCGCATAATTATGAAGACTGCACTCCTTTGAACCTTAGGTACTTACCAACATAATGACACCATTACCCGAATCAACTTTATTTGGTCTTGTCCACTTCTTTGGCAATTCATGTTAACTGCTACCATTTTTGATGCTTATGACATGCACATTTCTGATCACAACCCTGTTATTACATTTTGATGCTTCTTTATTATCAGATACCATCAAACTTGCTCATGCTCGTCAATTTGGCCACAATACAAGACATGTATTCAAATATGACTCGATCTCTCCTGCTCAATGGACTGAATTTGCTGATGACTAGATGCATTATGCTCTGCTGAACAATTCGTTTTCGATTCCTGGCATCTTAATCAAAAATGTGAATATCTTCATTCTCACATTATTAAGGCTGCTAAAGCCAAACTGCCCTCTGTCACTGTTGGGAATACCTATACTCCAAAGAAACCTAAAGATCTGGAATATTTAATTCAATCCTACCACTTTCTTTCAAAAGTGGCTAAAACTATTCGTCTTCTTCACAAAACCCTTTGCTGTATTCATCACATATCAATATTATTTTATCCATATATAGGACTATGTTTACTGCACCTTTAACATTTCCTTCTTCCCTATAGGAATGTAAATCAAATAATTTTTTAGATTTGCTGAAATCGTTAGATCAAATGATTTTGCTTTTATGAGGCCTGCTTTTGCTTAAGGAAAAAGATTTTTAAGCTCCTCTATTCTATCAAAAATTGAAGCTTGAAATGATAATTTCACCAATGATGTTTTGACCTTTATTGAATCTGCTCTTTCACAAACAAGAAGACAGATAGAATTTTTGTAGATCATCCTACCCAGCCAAAAATTGATCAGAATTTTGTGCCAATAACCTCCATACTTCCTTCCTCTATTCATGACTTACCAGCAAGATGGTTTGATGTTATCCTTCTGAAATCAACTCTTTCCTAAAATACATTTTTTACGAAAATTTCTGCATAATAATTTTTTTTAAAAAATAATCCCCTTTATTAAATTTTATGAAGCAGCTTTAGACTTCGTTTCCAAGTTTAACAAAATTTATTTTCAAACTTTTACACACCACTTAAGTTCTTTTGTACAGGACGGTTTCCTCAAAAACTTATTTGACAAAAACCCTTCAGTGACTAAGGATAAAGCTCGGTTACTGATAGAGAAGTTAGGCGATACAGCTAACCCTGCGAACTTTACTTCACAAGCCCAGGCTAACCCACTACCCTTTCGCTAATATTTTCTATAGCGCTATATGCTGCGTCCAGGTCTTGGGATAATTTTTCAACCCAATTCTTTTGCGAATTTGGCAATATGGGTGATGATGATGATGACGACGATGCAGAATCTTAGCATATGGGCTGATTTGTCTCTTATCACTAATTAATTTTTAGTGATAAATATGAATTATGATCAACATGCTGATCAAAATAACCTGAAAAAAGTGATAATAACAGATTATGCACAATGACATACATGACGATTTCATATTTAAACCAATCGTTGGTATCTCGAAACTAGTTTCTCGCAACTTTGAAACCTGTCAGGAATTGGTCTGTAATTGGTTTTATTTGGAAAGAACTATTTTTTTTGGAAAACGGTAAGTAGTATATTAAAAATTTGTTATACTCACTTAACGAACCTTTTTTGCTTTAAAACAATAAAAATGGCTGGAACAACCATACGCGTTCCCATTGCTGAAAGTAATTTTTTTTTCAATAATTTTTTTTAATGTAGGAACGTTCAATAACACCCTTTTATCAATAGCTACATTTTCTAATCGTGTTTTCATACATGATTATCCAAGAAGTTCTAAAATTGAAGCACATTTTCAATCAAATGAACGATTATATATTTCATATTACAATATTATTTCTCTGGGAACCTATCCTTCCACACCAAAACTGACACAAAAATCTAAAAACAACGCGTCTCAATATCCAATACCTGACGATTATATAGTTGAAACAAAGTTTTCTGAAAGAAGTCTTATATGCAAAACTAAATAAATTTCAGTTTCAAAGGTATGCTATACAATTAATTGGAAGATCGGTCATGCAGAGTGGAGTGTTAGTAGTACCCAATCTTCAACAGCTGTTGTTAATACATTTTTACAGGTATTTAACTCATATTTATATTAGATAAATTTTAATAACATATAATTAATTTTAATATTATATTTAATAGAAAATTAACTTAAAATCATCAACTAAATCATCTGGGCCTCGGTTATTTGGATTTGATATTGAGCCACTATATCATGCTCGTTTACAAATTGGGTTTCGACCTGTTACTGCTGTTACAACAGAAGTTAATAACTGAAAAAGACCACTTGAAGATATCACTTCCCGTTCACAGCAAAATAAAAGATTTAACAGTTTCGGAAGGGATGTGCAAAAAGCAGTTGATGAATTGATTGTTAAACATAAGCTGACAAATTTATCTGGAGAGCCAATTTTATATTTACAGCATATTGGATTCGATTGCAAAGAGAATCAAGTTTGCATCAACTTCAAAATTCGAATTCTATGACAATTCAAACAAAACTTGATGCTATTGTACGTGTATGTGATGAAGCACTTTTAAGTCGTGATGGATACCGGCATTTAGCAGCAGTTGTGCCATCACTTTTTCGTGAGTATTTAGTTGCTGATCGCTGAAATAAGATAAATAAATTAATAAATACTCAGATACATGTGGAAATTTTTAATATAGAAGATATTGATCAATTTAATGGTGATAATAATTCTGATAAACGTGCTAGTGATACTTTAGTAAATAATTATGAAGTAGGAAATGGGGCTTATTGTTCACTTTCAACTTTACTTAAAATATTAATACCTGTTTGGAAAGGAAGAGAAAATCCTGTAATAATTCCAGGAGATATTCTTCATATAAAACTTGGTGGAGATGGTCGTAATGTTTGGAGAAAACAAAATCATGTAATTGTTACTTTTTGTTTATTAAATGAAAAGGATGACGTACTTAAACCAAACCATCAATATAGGTATATTTTTTGTGTTGTTAAATTAATTTAATTGTAATTTTAATAAAAAATAAAATAAAATTCATTACTGTTTTAGTATATGTCTTTACATAGGTAAAGAAAAATATGAGACATTGGATAAAGTTGGCAAAATATTTGCCTTACAGTTGGCTGATTTAAAGGAGAATGGAATAATTGATGATGATGGCATTCACTGGCCTGTTGAATTTTATTTTTCTGGTGATTGGAAGTTTACCTATATTATTTTAGGTCTAAATGCACCTAATTCTGAATATTTTTATCTATTCTGTGAATGTGATGCTAAATCCCGGCATAATATGGATCTTTTTTGGATGCCTACTGGAAATACTAAAGGTTAAAATTTTTTTCTAAATTGTTAATTGGTAAAAAATAATAATATGTAAGTAATCATTATAATTACATTAATTAGGGAAAAAAGGGCATCTTTGTTTCCTGTGATTGATTTACTTAATTATATTCCTGATGAGCTTCATATCTTATTACGGATATCTGATATATTGATGGAATGTCTATTTAGAGATCTATTTAAGAAAAATGATTTTGAACGAAATTTTAAAGAAAAAATTGAAAAAAAAATGAATAACATTAATATTCATTTTGAGTTTTATCGTAGTTCTGCTCAAGGTACTTGGAATTGGACATCTCTTATGGGACCAGAAAAAAAAAAAATGCTACAATATTTTCCTGTAAGTGAATTTATACCTGGAGTACGTGGAGTGGATATTGAAAATTTGTGGCGTAAATTTTATCAGTTGTATGAGGTTTTAAGAAAACCATCTCACACTGAAGCAGAAATTTTAAAATTTGAGGAAGATGCAAAAAATTGGGTAAGGACTTTCTGTCGACCTACTATAGGCCAAATGAATTCTGCAACAGCAATTCCGGGACTTTATAGGAAGGATGATGTCACACCTTACATGCATATGCTTACAATGCATGTCCCTTATTTTATGCGTCGATTAAAAGAAAAAGGACTTTCGCTTAGATTATTTTCAACAAGTAGTGTTGAAAAAAAAAATCACGATCAGGTATGATATAAAATTTTGCATAAATATTTTATTCATTTATTACTTATTAGGTTAGATTGTTTTTTGGAGGAACAACTATGGGAGGTGGTAAAAAAAAACTTCCTGTTGTTTATGATATACTAGTATTTGAAAATCGTCAAATCTTTTATTTGATTAATAATATTCCTAATGAAATAACATGTAGAAACATTAATATTTATAATGGTGAAAATACAATCTAAATTATGTTTTACACACAAAACTACTAATTTATAAATTATTTATTTCTGGAATTCTGTTGAAATCCAAAAAAAATTCTATTAAAATATCTATAAATTATTTATTGATTTTCATTTGTTACTTCATTTCTAATAAAGAAAAAAATCAAACTATTAATTCTTCAAAATTATAAAAGATTTGTATGTGAAATTCCAAACCTTACCCATTAATAAACTCTCCTGNCGATCAAAATAACCTGAAAAAAGTGATAATAACAGATTATGCACAATGACATACATGACGATTTCATATTTAAACCAATCGTTGGTATCTCGAAACTAGTTTCTCGCAACTTTGAAACCTGTCGGGAATTGGTCTGTAATTGGTTTTATTTGGAAAGAACTATTTTTTTTGGAAAACGGTAAGTAGTATATTAAAAATTTGTTATACTCACTTAACGAACCTTTTTGCTTTAAAACAATAAAAATGGCTGGAACAACCGTACGCGTTCCCATTGCTGAAAGTAATTTTTTTTTCAATAATTTTTTTTAATGTAGGAACGTTCAATAACACCCTTTTATCAATAGCTACGTTTTCTAATCGTGTTTTCATACATGATTATCCAAGAAGTTCTAAAATTGAAGCACATTTTCAATCAAATGAACGATTATATATTTCATATTACAATATTATTTCTCTGGGAACCTATCCTTCCACACCGAAATTGACACAAAAATCTAAAAACAACGCGTCTCAATATCCAATACCTGACGATTATATAGTTGAAACAGAGTTTTCTGAAAGAAATCTTATATGCAAAACTAAATATATTTCAGTTTCAAAGGTATGCTATACAATTAATTGGAAGATCGGTCATGCAGAGTGGAGTGTTAGTAGTACCCAATCCTCAACAGCTGTTGTTAATACATTTTTACAGGTATTTAACTCATATTTATATTAGATAAATTTTAATAACATATAATTAATTTTAATATTATATTTAATAGAAAATTAACTTAAAATCATCAACTAAATCATCTGGGCTTCGGTTATTTGGATTTGATATTGAGCCACTATATCATGCTCGTTTACAAATTGGGTTTCGACCTGTTACTGCTGTTACAACAGAAGTTAATAACCGAAAATGACCACTTGAAGATATCACTTCCCGTTCACAGCAAAATAAAAGATTTAACAGTTTCGGAAGGGATGTGCAAAAAGCAGTTGATGAATTGATTGTTAAACATAAGCTGACAAATTTATCTGGAGAGCCAATTTTATATTTACAGCATATTGGATTCGATTGCAAAGAGAATCAAGTTTGCATCAACTTCAAAGATTCGAATTCTATGACAATTCAAACAAAACTTGATGCTATTGTACGTGTATGTGATAAAGCACTTTTAAGTCATGATGGATACCGGCATTTAGCAGCAGTTGTGCCATCACTTTTTCGTGAGTATTTAGTTGCTGATCGCCAAAATAAGATAAATAAATTAATAAATACTCAGATACATGTGGAAATTTTTAATATAGAAGATATTGATCAATTTAATGGTGATAATAATTCTGATGAACGTGCAAGTGATACTTTAGTAAATAATAATGAAGTAGGAAATGGGGCTTATTGTTCACTTTCAACTTTACTTAAAATATTAATACCTGTTTGGAAAGGAAGAGAAAATCCTGTAATAATTCCAGGAGATATTCTTCATATAAAACTTGGTGGAGATGGTCGTAATGTTGGGAGAAAACAAAATCATGTAATGGTTACTTTTTGTTTATTAAATGAAAAGGATGACGTACTTAAACCAAACCATCAATATAGGTATATTTTTTGTGTTGTTAAATTAATTTAATTGTAATTTTAATAAAAAATAAAATAAAATTCATTACTGTTTTAGTATATGTCTTTACATAGGTAAAGAAAAATATGAGACATTGGATAAAGTTGGCAAAATATTTGCCTTACAGTTGGCTGATTTAAAGGAGAATGGAATAATTGATGATGATGGCTTTCACTGGCCTTTTTAATTTTATTTTTCTGGTGATTGGAAGTTTACCTATATTATTTTTGGTCTAAATGCACCTAATTCTGAATATTTTTGTCTATTCTGTGAATGTGATGCTAAATCCCGGCATAATATGGATCTTTTTTGGATGCCTACTGGAAATACTAAAGGTTAAAATTTTTTTCTAAATTGTTAATTGGTAAAAAATAATAATATGTAAGTAATCATTATAATTACATTAATTAGGGAAAAAAAGGGCATCTTTGTTTCCTGTGATTGATTTACTTAATTATATTCCTGACGAGCTTCATATCTTATTACGGATATCTGATATATTGATGGAATGTCTATTTAGAGATCTATTTAAGAAAAATGATTTTGAACGAAATTTTAAAGAAAAAATTGAAAAAAAAATGAATGACATTAATATTCATTTTGAGTTTTATCGTAGTTCTGCTCGAGGTACTTGGAATTGGACATCTCTTATGGGACCAGAAAAAAAAAAATGCTACAATATTTTCCTGTAAGTGAATTTATACCTGGAGTATGTGGAGTGGATATTGAAAATTTGTGGCGTAAATTTTATCAGTTGTATGAGGTTTTAAGAAAACCATCTCACACTGAAGCAGAAATTTTAAAATTTGAGGAAGATGCAAAAAATTGGGTAAGGACTTTCTGTCGACCTACTATAGGCCAAATGAATTCTGCAACAGCAATTCCGGGACTTTATAGGAAGGATGATGTCACACCTTACATGCATATGCTTACAATGCATGTCCCTTATTTTATGCGTCGATTAAAAGAAAAAGGACTTTCGCTTAGATTATTTTCAACAAGTAGTGTTGAAAAAAAAAATCATGATCAGGTATGATATAAAATTTTGCATAAATATTTTCATTAACTTATTATTCATTTATTACTTATTAGGTTAGATTGTTTTTTGGAGGAACAACTATGGGAGGTGGTAAAAAAAAACTTCCTGTTGTTTATGATATACTAGTATTTGAAAATCGTCAAATCTTTTATTTGATTAATAATATTCCTAATGAAATAACATGTAGAAACATTAATATTTATAATGGTGAAAATACAATCTAAATTATGTTTTACACACAAAACTACTAATTTATAAATTATTTATTTCTGGAATTCTGTTGAAATCCAAAAAAAATTCTATTAAAATATCTATAAATTATTTATTGATATCTTTTGATTTAATTCTTGAAGGGGGGAGCATGGTAAAATAAGTCTATATTGCGATTGATTATTTGTTTTAGTAATAGTAGGTATTGCAGAGTGAGCAGAAGTATGATTTTCATTTGTTACTTCATTTCTAATAAAGAAAAAAATCAAACTATTAATTCTTCAAAATTATAAAAGATTTGTATGTGAAATTCCGAACCTTACCCATTAATAAACTCTCCTGAATCCGTTATAAATGTGCAGATAACTGTCCCACACTGAAAGATTCGGTTGTTTTCAACCAATTCATTCTGTGCCCAACTTAAAGAAACTTCATAAATTTCCTCACTATTCACAAATAGTACATATCCCGTTGTTTTTGTTTTGGGATCTTGTCGGCAATTCCAGTATTCATAGTTTAAAATTTGCTTTAATCTACCTTCTCCCGCCTCACCTTTAAATGTACAACGATATTTTCGCAGTGCTGAATTATACCTAAAAGAAGGTTCATTTTGAAATAAATAAACAAATACATTCTCAGAAAAAGACACTTATTGAGAGTCGTTTGGATCCTACAGAATGTCTATTGAAACCAAGACATTTTTTAATTAAGACTATAAACGCATCTTGGTAAGACACAAGCTGCTCAAAAGTGGGCTGGTGGAGTGAATGGAGATGAGGTATAGTTTTATTGTTTTTATGCTTAGTTCTTCATGAGTTAAAAGTTGTTTTCGTGAAGAAAAGGTTTTTTGGCAAAGGTAACATTTAAAGGACATGTTGGATACAGTAAACGCGTGATTGTGCCACAGCGTGAATTTTATTTAGTTGTGATTGGTAAACAATAATAATGACAAATGTGATATGTATAATAGTTAAACTGGTAATGATCGACCATTGATCATTTTCGCAGGTGATATAACTGAAGTGAGCCAAATCGGCCCATATGAAAACATTGAATAATAAAAAAGCTCCGAACGGTTCCAATTTTCAATTCTTTTTTAATTGGTCAGAATCGTTTTCACGTAATAACTTACCATCCAGTAATCGTAGAAAGACAATTAAGAGCTCATTAGAATCCTCTTATCGAGAGCTTTCAAATGATGCTAAAATCATAATTTTAGCATCGATAGATGGCGAGTTATTTTGACGCATTATCAAAAAAAATAAAAATTGGAATCATTTGGTCAGGAGCTTTAAACAATACGCAAAATAATATTATGTACTGATTATTGACATTTACTGAACATTATTCACTCAAGAATTGTTCATTGTATTGTTCAATGCTATATTATTTTTTGTAGAATTATTTTACTTTTTATTCAATACTTATCAATTTTTAAACTTCACAAAAAATTAAATACATATTTAATCAAAGGTCATCTGATTTAACTTTAAGAAACTTTCAGTTAGTAAAGTTAATCCAAAATTAAATTTTTCATAAAATTTTATCCATTTAACTTTTATAAACCTAAATTAAATATGTGTTATATGTTCAGATAATCCAAATTTATCAGAAAATAAAAAAATTTTTTTTATTATATTCAAAAACAAAGATAATAACCAATTCTTT